ATATATATATATATATATATATATATATATATATATATATATATATATATATATATTCAGGGTGTTCCTTAATGATATGCGAATATTTAAGGGTGTGAATCTACTTGAAAAAGTAATGATAGTTTGCTTTATAAACTATGGTCCAAAAATGTTTCCATACAAAAACTCGGGGTGTTGAAGTTTTAGAAAAAAAAAATGGAAATTAATTAATATTTTCAGAACCGCTTCAGATATTTCACTGATATTTAGTACGTAGTGAAAGCTAATAAAGCTGCATATTTTTCAATGCAAAAATAATTTTAAGCTTTAACAGTGGCGTGCGTACGGGTATTGACTTCGATATTTTTTAAGAAAAAAATGGTACGCCAATGGTTTTTTGACAAATAAAAATTATTTTTGAATTCGCCGTTCAATTCAAAACAAATGATCTCTCTTGAATTGTTTTTCGATGTGCCACTTTTGAGTAAAAAAATAAAAACGGTTCCATTGTCCGAGAAAATTAATGTACTAATTGAGTCCCCTATTTCCAAAAGCGGCTAAATCCAAAATTGACGGTATTAAGAAAAAGGCGAAAAACTGTAATTCTTACTAATTGTAAGTTTGTGAGTCAGTAATACCGTAATATTAATGTATGTAGCACAATAAAGGATTTTTGAAAAATAAAACATATTTTTTGTTTTATATGTCAGTATGAGAGGGGGGGTAGGGATGGATCTACCCGAGTTTGAATGTGAACTCAGGATTTACCCGGTATTGAAACGAAGTTTGTATGAATTCTTTCCTGATGTATTAACATTAGATAACAAAAAGGAATAAAAAAGAAAATCATACATTCTTTCTTGTAAACTGTTTTGGGTACATCAACTTAAAACTCAACTTTAGAAGTAGAAAGTCCTTTTTGTTAAAAACGAAAATAAAAATCATAAAACATCAGCTTCAAAGCTACACTCGGTATTAGCAAAGCACACACTTTTATCATCAGCATTTTCTTCTGCTTGTGTTAAACTTTGTTGATTATCCATAACAGTCTTATAGTATTCCAATTCGAATTCTTCATTTTTTTGCTTCCACGCCGTTCCAAAATGTTTTGTCAAAAGTTCATCAACATTCTTTAGTTTTTCGGGATTTATTTTCAAGTTATTTATACAAACGTTTTCTGGGGACATGAGCGATATTCTCTTCCAACTTTTGCAGATGCCTTTAGCGTTATTCACATCAGACTGGTAATTTGGTTCACCCCTTACCAAGACTTGCAGAACGAGTCAGTATCAACCGCTTACATGACTTGATTTGTAAATGTAGTGAGGTTGGTGACTTGATGACACTTGCGGCCTCCTTTTTCCAATTTTGAATTTGCCAGTCCTGTCCCAATTTTTTTAAAGTACCAAGGTTTTCGAAAATATTATAATACGTTTCAGGCTTGACTATTGTGTCAAGTTTTTTTTATCTTTTTTTCTATCAAGGCGAAAACTCGAACTGGAGGTAAAAAAGAATGGCCAGTGACCGGAAATATCAATTGCAGTTTTTCGATATGGCTCGGAGCTTCTCACATCCATTTAGCGCACAAAGACAGAACAATACTATTTTTGTTCTGCCCAGTGCAGCCATCTGATACCAGTCTAATCTCTTTCACATTCTCAGGAATCGTGATTTTGTTTAAAGAGTCATAAACCGCTGAGGCGATTTCATTCGATCCCTTATGACATTCTGTTTCAAGCCATGTATGGATATAAACATTTTCTTTTAAAAGTTTTGCTTTTGATGATCCTATGACAACAGTAAAGTTGTGAAGATACAGTTGCCTTTTGTAATATGTTATTTGATCAGGAATTTTCGGTAATACTAAGTTTTTTTGGCAGTCAAATGTCAGAATCAATAGATCATCACTTTGGCCTCTGAGTTTATCATAAAATGCTTTTGCCCTTAGCTTATGTATGCATTGTTTCACTATTAAATCGTTTTTTACCTGTAAATCTTTCTCTCTCTTGATCATTTCTCTGTATTCAAGGCATTGCGAGCAGACATCTACTTGTTGCGCATTGAATCCTATATAATATACACGTCAACAGGATCTAGCCGGTCTTGTTCATAAACAAGAACATAATAGTTGGTGTAGCAGAGGATGTAGCCGGTTTTGGTAAAACCGAGGATATAGCCACTTTTGTAATAAAAGACGCTTCAGCTTTAGCCGGATTTGAAAATAAGACTGAAATAGTGTGCTGATTTATATAGATTTTGCCGCATTTTGGAAACGAGTATGTATTACAGTATATTACTAAAACCTTTGACTATGAGATGGCAGCACCCACACCATTTTTCGTAAATATGGATTTAGCCGCTTTTGGAAATAGGGGACTCAATTGTAGAATGCAATTTAGCAAAAAATATCTAGTTACTCTGGAAAATGTCACTGGCTTTTGACATCTGACAAGTCTCTGTTATTCAAGTCTGTTCGATGTGACATCTTTTTCATTATTTAGTTTTTACAATCTTGTTAATAATGGTGAATTATTCAAATGCAGAAATGGCAGAAATGCATTGCGTATATGGCCTTGCCGACGATAATGATGAGCAAGCCAGACGGATTTAGAACCAGAGATATCCTGATCGTGCTTTGCCAGATAGTCGAACCTTTTCTAATATTCATCGACGTCTTATTGAAACTGGTTCTGTCAGAAAATGAACATCTGAAGGTAGACCTCTAAGTGTGAGGTCACCTGAAATTGAGGAAGCAGTGCTGAACGAAATCGAAGAACATCCTGAAACGAGTACGGGGTAGATCGCTAGACACTTAAATATTTGCCATCAAATTGTTTGGAGAATTTTAGTGGATTTTTTGTTATATTCTTACGATATTTTAAGAGTACAGGCATTACTTCCCATTGATTTTCCAAGGCGTGTGACCTTTTGTCAGTGGTATCTTAAAAAAAATACACAAAATCCGCAATTTGAATCAATGATTCTGTTCACGGACGAAGCTAATTTTTCTTGAAATGCCATTCAGAATTTCCACAATAATCATTTGTGGGCAGAAGAAAATCCCTATGCCGTAACCGAAACCCATTTCCAATACCAATTTTCGGTTAACGTATGGGCAGGAATTATTGGCAACCACTTTATTGGACCATTCTTCTTGCCGGGATGACTTGACGGACATACTTACCTCAATTTTCTTCAACAACAGTTGCCTTTGCTACTTGATGATGTTCCGTTAGTAATAAGAAACAATATGTGGTACATGCATGATGGTGCACCAGCGCATTTCAGTGTAGCGGTTCCTAATTATTTACAAACTGTTTATCCAAATCGTTGGATTGGCCGCGGTGGGCCGCAAGAATGACCACCAAGGTCTCCAGACCTCAACAGTTTATATTTCTTTTTGTGGGGCTATCTTAAGATACTAGTATACACAAGTGCCATTAACACAACAACATAATTAAGAGAAAGCATAGTTGCAGCTTGTGATAGAATAAAAAACACTCCAGGGATATTTCAACGAGTGCGCAATTCCATGAGATGGAGGGCGGAAGCATGCATACTAAGTGAAGGGGGGCATTTTCAACAATTTTCGTAATCATTTCATTGGTTTTAATGTTACGTTTATGTTGTCAGTTGTTGTTGTTCATTACCCCTAATGTGTTTATTTTTCCAATTAAATTAATAATTATTTTGCAAGTTAGACAATAGAACGGTTTTTGTTTTACTCAAAAATGGCGGATCGGAGGAAAACAATTCAAGAGAGTTTTTGTAAGGAAACATTTTTGGTCCATAGTTTATAAAGCAAACTAACATTAATTTTTCATGTACTTAGATTCACACACTTAAATATTCGCGTCTCATTAAGGAACACCCTGTATATATATTGTTCGTCGACTATGCGTTCCCTTTCACTGTCGTTTAAGCATTTCAGCAACAATCTGGCCGACTTAGTAAGTAATTATTTTTTCTCCTAATTTTTTAATGTTGCTGTTTTTCAAAAATAGTTTTTTAGCTCCAGACGATGATGGCATAGACCATCGAAAGCTTGAGTTCAAGTTGTAAGAGTGTACTTATGCAAAACTTTACCTTCCACCCAAAGAAATTCAACGATATTTATTTTCTGTTAAGGCAGTTAAATATTTTGCCCAATTTGAGGTATATGCACATTTTTATTCATCTACCTACAGCGCACATTGTGATAGAGTCCGCTAACGGCTGAAAAAATTAGTTTTTAAATTAATCAGCCAAAACAATACCTACCACTGGCATCACGCCTGTCAATGAGCGGCAATTCCAGCTATCTGACAATTACGTGCTATTTTTCTTAACTTTGCAATGAAACATGATGTTGTGATTTCTCAGAAATATCTGACCAAAGGACACACACACCCAAATGGAATGTGACTCTGTACACAGTTGTATTTAAAGAAAACTGAGAAATAGAGTAATTGAATTACCAAATGACCATGTTAAGGCATCAAAAGAAGCTAGGACAAAACCAGAGCCATATGAGGTGATACAATTGAGTTACGACTTCTTCAATGACTACTCTCGAACAGAGGTGCAGCGATACTCAACAATTAGACTAGGCTGGGACAATGTAGTCACGGACATCAAAGTACTATGTTATAATCCCGATGGAAAAATTGAAGTGAAGCATTAAACTTTTAATTTGATATAATGACTAACAGTTTTTCTAACACGAATCTCACTAAATCCATCTATGCATCATAGTACAATATCTGCTAACTGCAAACAAAGTTAGCAGAAGTGTCAGCCACTGCACTAATTTTGTTAATTAGAGCTTCATTTAGATAAAAATGTATTAAATATGTGTTAGACATCATTTATTTTTTGTGACCAAAGTTGTAGAGTCTTAAGGCTGGTAGTATAAAATTGATAAGGTGTTTTTCGTCCCCTGTAAAATTACAGTTCCTGCATATAGCAGCTATTGTCAGATGTCTGACGAGATATATATATATATACATATAATTCAAATGTTTTTGTAGATCTAGACTTACCTAATATATCAATGGAACTTTGATGGTTTGACACTATTATACATGCTTGATCTTTTTCTAGTTGCTCCTTTCCTTGTAGAATCCAATTGAGACCAATTATTTTTGATATTCTTTTGCAAAAATATGAGGCAATTCTAAAACATTAAAAAAAAGTAGATAGGTATATAGTTAAAAAAAAACATCAGAATGCAACTTACAAAAGATTTTGAACATTTTTTGGCCTGAAGCAAAATACTGGTATGAGGAGAATACTGTGAAGGATAGTGATACTATAGTAAAGAAAAAATTTCAAGTAATACCGGAATCTCTGACTAGACTCGTATAAAAAAGGCAGGAATAAAATACATCCAACAAATGTCAATTCAGTATATGAAGCGCTCATTTTTAGTTGTTTTCATTTAGATTCAACCGTTACAAGTATGGACAACCCGTATCAACGTCGGTTGCTTTGGTACTGATTCATTTTCCACTTCTATTTATTTGTTTGCAGCTATCCATACCCAGCATCTGTAATTTGTTTACAATCAGTTTTAAAACCAATAACACACCAATAACCTTTTCTGACGTTGAAGTTGACAGATATCAAGCAAAAGCTGACAGACAAAACTGACAATTGACATGTACAGCAAGGGGTGCGTTTGTAAATCACTTTGGTAATGTAATACCGTCCACAGTAAATACTCAAGAATACTGTGTAACTTTATTTTTAGAACGCCTAAATTACTACAGAATTATGTAATGACACTTGATGACAGCCGACTAATTTCTAACTACGTCTTCTGAGACAATTACATATTCTCCCAATTTTGAGCACTTTTTGATAATCAAATCCACAAACAATGAACCATGAGAATATCAACAACACTCGTATTTCAAAGGCACCCCAATGTATTGATCACAAAAAGAAAAATGCACTTTGTTCTATTCCGAACGTATGAAACCGATACGTCGTAATTGGGTCTGACTGTCGAACGTGCAGGTACCACCCGGTGCATCTAGAATGTGTTTTATGATTGAGAAAGAAATGGGGCGTTGGTCAATGGTAAGATGATTGGCAGGCCTTTGTTGATTGACCAATCCCAGAGTAAGCCACACGCGAACTTAGCCAGGCCAGAAGAAATTAGTGTCGCCAATCGCCGAAATAAGTTCCACTCTGCGGAAATTTTTAGATCGTGGAGAAACTTTTTCGGAACTTCTTGGACTGTCTTATTGTAGGAATTTTTAAAAAAATTAATAATTGTCTAATGTTTATTGAAAGAAATCCTGGTAATACCGTAAAGGTACCCTGACGGGGAACATTTTCGATCTGAAACAGTTCAACAACTAAGAGTTCTCCCTATCTGCCTTTGTGTCGGGTTAAATGACTCTGATAAGCTGCGTGACTTGACATCAATAAACTCGTGGCAATTTTATTAAGTAAAGAATTAATAGACATTATTCCTCCATCAGTTGTAATCCAACATCTATTTTCCTGTTCGTCTAATTATGCTAGCGGCAAAAGGCGAACTGTAAACCATTTGAAATGTTTCATTCTTTTTCACAAAAATTTTTGTCATTATTTAAAATTTTTCCGAAAATGGTCAGGATCTTCCGAAGTTTGGGCCGTTGTTACGTTGCTAAGCGGACACTTACCTTTTTATGAACATAGATGCATAAAATATCCTCAATAAAGGAAATACCTGTTTCAGCAGTTTTGCTGGTAACCAATTTTTTGATAATAAAACATGCGTAATTAATAAAATATTTATTGAATAATTAAATATATAAATAAAAGTAGCATATCATCATCACAGTACATTGACAAAGGTATTTTTAGACATCCGAAGCTTCCTCTATCTTATTAAGTGAATAAGTGATGTTTAAAAAAATACAAATCATACAAATAGAAATAACAAGACCGATCGTTATTTGTGCAATGTACATATGTATATGTGTTTCCGAACACGTGTTGGAATGCGCTGTATCTGGCGCAGCTTGAGTACCGTATGAATTGATCAGGCCTATTCTGTTGAAGAATGCTGTTCAATGTAAATCTAAGTCATGTGGTAACAGGGCAAAGTTGTTGCCTGATGGAAGTTATAATTACTGTTGTGGTACTGGTGGTCAAGTTCATGATGAAGATTTTGCTAGACTAGATCCTGGATTACAACTTATTTTGAAAAGGCTTGACAAAGTAGATGCGTCATTGAGTGCAATTAAGTCAGATATTCAATCCTCCAGCAATAAGCTAACAGAACATGAAAAAAAGGTTCATACACTTGAAGAGATTGTTACTGGTGAGTCTTTATATGATGAAATGAAAGATAGGATGAATAGAGAGAAGAACTTTATTATATATAACTTTGATGACTCAGTGAGCGCAGCTGCAACTGATTCTGTGAAAATAAAGAAATTGCTCGAGGATACAAAGCTTGTTATTCCATTTAACTTTGATGATCTTAAAGTTTTTCGACTTGGACGTGATGATTTTGTTGAAGGAAAGAATAGATTAGTCAAAGTTGTAATGAAATTCTCTGATAATGTACACTGGATTTATCATCATAGTGAAATTTTTAAAAATAATGTTTTTGTCAGCAGTGATCAACAAGCTCACATGCAAAAACTTAAAAATGAAGTGAAGCATAGATCTGACAAGGGAGAAAAGGATTTAAAAATTAAACATATCAGAGGTAAACCAACGATTGTTAAATCTATTGTTGCTGATAATCAATTAAATGAAAATGATGAAGATACTGAATGACTGTATGATAGTTACCATAATTTGAGGATTTTCTACCAAAATATTCGTAGCGTCAGAGGAAGGCTTGATGAGTTTTACTCCAGATTATGCCTTATTACTGAATATGACATTAAAGTTTCGACTGAAACTTGGCTTGATGAAGACATTACTACTGCTGAATTATAACTCCAAGATTTTACTGTGTACAGATGTGACAGGTCTTTATTGACAAGTGTGAAGAAATCTGGTGCTGGTGTTTTGATTGCAGTCAAAAAATTTATTAAGTGTTTAAATGTTTTTTAGTTAATAACTCTTATAAACAAGTTATTGTGCGTATAAAAACTCATGCAAAGTCATTTTTCATTAGTGTGGTCTATATACACCCCTTTCAACCTCTGATTACTACAGAGAATTTGTTGATAATCTTCAAAATTCATTGCTAAATTACATTAAGGACTTCAATTCATATGATCTCTTATTATTGGGTGATTTTAATTTACCGGGTTACAGATGGTTTAAAAATGATTATTTTTCTGCTGCTGTTGGTTATCATCTGAGTAAAGATGTCAGACTTGGTGCTTTTTTTGAGTTTAACTCAGCATAACACTTACATTTACTCATCGGGGAATATTCTTGACCTGATCTTTTCCAACAGCAGTGATGTTTCTTATGAAATCGCTGATGAAGCTATTTTTGATTGTGATAGGTATCACTTACCTTTTAAAATAAATATCTCAGTGCCTAAAATTGATACACTGAAAACTTGCAATTATATTTATGATTTCAAAAATGCAGACTATGCAGCAATTCTAAGTGAATTACACCGCTTGGATTGGACTTTATTTAATAACAACTGTGATGATGTAAATCTACTAGTTAAAGCTTTAGAATTTAATATTAATACTTTGATTAATAACTTTGTACCAAAGATCTTAATTAAGTCTAGTAATTTTTCTTCATGGTTCTCGAGAGATTTAGTTAATGCTGTTAAAGCTAAGAAAAAGTATAATAGATTATATAAATTGTATCATTCTGATTACTATTACATGTTGTTTTCTAAAGAGCGTACCAATTGTGATATCTTACATACTAAAGATAAAACTAATTATATTAATAAAGTTGAGAACTCATTAGCTGATGGTAGTCAATTTTTTTTTAATTATGTTAATTCTTTATGTAAATCAAAAGGTTATCCATCAGTTATGCATTACGTTAGTCAAACTGCTGATAATGGTAAAGATATTACTAACTTATTTGCTCAGAAATTTGGTGGAGTTTATTCCAATAGTAACTTGACAACAACTGAAATTGATTGTAATATTTATGACTGCTTGAGTTCAGTTAGATTCTCGGTTGATGTTTTTGCTAAATCTGTTGATAAATTAAATGTCAAATCAGGACCTGGTCCTGACAATATTCATCCGTTAATGATTTCTAATTGCTCGCAATTCCTATTACCGAAATTAACAATTTGTCATTGCAATCTGGTGTTTTCCCTTGCTGTTGGAAAACCTACTTCATCAAACCATTATACAAAAAAAGGTGATACATCTGATGTCAACAATTATAGACCAATTTGTAAGCCTAATGTTTGAGCAAAAATTTTTGATCAGTTGGTACATGAAAAGCTTTCCTGTTATTTATCAACGTTTATTATTACAAATCAACATGGCTTCATGAAGAATAAATCAACTATTACTAATTTAAGTTTATATACAGAAAATTTAGTTGATGCAATGAGCAATGGATTAGCGACTGATGCTATTTATACAGACTTTTCTAGTGCCTTTGATGTAGTTAAGGTTTCTTTGCTTCTAAATAAGCTTGAAGCTTACGGTATCAATGGTGCATTGTTGAAATCATTAGAGTCTTATTTGACTGATAGAAAACAGTATGTCAAAATCGATAATCATATATCACATGTCATTGACGTAACATCAGGAGTTGGTCAAGGTTCTCACTTGGGACCATTGCTATTTCTTGTTTTCATAAATGATATCAAATCCTGCATACGTCATTGTAATTTTTTGTTGTTTGCTGATGACTTAAAATTATATAAAGTAATCAGATCTATTTATGATAGATACTTAGTGCAAATTGATATGAATTCGTTACTTATTTGGAGTATATTAAACGGCATACCTTTTAACATCAAAAAGTGTTATTTTATTACTTTTGGTAAATGTAACTTACAAGATGTTGATTATAACTTTGACAACGTTGGGTTAGAAAAGTGAAACTCTATAAAAGATCTTGGTATCATTTTTGATTCTAAATTATCGTTTAATTATCATATTGAACACCTTAGAAATTCAGCAATAAAAAAAAAATTTTTTTAAAGAGATTTACAAGACATTTTAAAAGTATTAGCACCTTCAGAGCTCTGTACTATTCTTTTGTATATCCAATTCTAAGCCATGGTTCTGTAGTTTGGAATCCTTATCTTAAATATCAAATAGATTCTCTTGAAAGAGCCAATCATGTCTTTTTAAGATATGTTGCATACAGAACTGGTATGCCAATGAATTTTACCGATCACAACTACACAAATATTTCAAACAAAATTATGATTCCAACGCTTGAAAGTGCTAGGGACAGGATTGATGTTTTATTTGCTTATAATTTATTTAATAACATTTTTGATAATTTTAGTTTATTGTCAAAATTCAGATTTTATGTGCCACCAAGAATGTTAAGACATAATAATGTTTATTTTCATGTTATGCCACCTAAGTCAGATCTGATAAATCATTCTCCTGTTTTTAGATTATCTAAACTATGTAAGGAACACAGTAGTTGGCTTGATTTGTATAATTCGAGTAATTATATTGTTAGAAATTTATCAAAGTCTATGTTTACATTTGAGTAGTCTTTTGATTTTGTAATACATATTTGAATTTATGATTACTAGATTATTGCATTTCCTCATTTGAACATCTGTATTAAATTTCGCAGATGATTATGTTAATCTCAGTTGATTGCCTTATATACTATTATATGTTACTGTTGCCACATAAGTAGCGATACTTACGCGACGTTTGCGGTGCATTTTTCTATTTATAATACACATGTATAATGGGTTCGCCCGTAAGTTGAATAAATAAATAAATACAATAAATACAATAAATAGCATAAAAAACGATAAAAAGGGGCCCTCAGTAAACAAAGGAATTGATTAGCAACATCATGAGGTTATTTATCACACTAAATCAACAAAAAATAAATCTCTGTAGTTAAATAAATAACTGAAATAAAAATCTAATGTGATAAGACAAATTTGCACCCACGGTTATAGTGTAAAAATGAGGAATATTTTCCTCAAAGACGGAATCAAAGTTGAAAATAAACAAGACATTCCTCATACTTAAGACCAAAAGCTTCTGATGTCTTTGGAATTACAGTGTTACGACTTTTTAGTTGTAAATTGTAGATTTTACGAATTAGAAGGTTCTCTTCTACTTACTCGTTTACTAGGTCATAAGATACGATATAGATAGATAAGAATATATGGATCTCATACCCTTGCTAAAATTTATTGTGTATAGGGGTAGATATATACATTGTACATAGCATTTTATATTATTTCTGCTTTTACCTATTGATCCCTTCCCTCTGGTGACCAGCCTGTAACTATGAAACCTGAAATAAGGCAGATATAAGTAGTGGATAATTGCTTCCCCCTATGCTTGGCAGATTACTTATCCTTTCCTAATTAGCATCCCTGATAAGATAATTATTATAATAGTAGCTATTGTTTATGGTTACATAACCTCAATCAAAAAGGGGTTGATTTGTCGAATGTCAAGGTCAAGACAATATCTGTCACATTGTCAAAATCCGAGCCTGGCGATAGAGATTTTTTCGCGAATTATCTGACCGAGTCAGTCTACTTGCTTTTTAAAAAGATTTATTCTCGATTATCAGAAATACAATTCTATTGATGTATATAGTATGAGCGTTAACAACAGACTGACTAACTCTGAATACAATAAAATATGACTGGATAAGGCAACGCGCTGATCCAGGGAAACTCGATCCTCTTCTTTAGTGGTAGGGGTAAATCTTCTGTACTATAACGCCTCCCCTTGTAGATGCAACTTCGAGGGTTAACGAGGAAGTTGCACATTGGAAAGATCAACTTCTTCAATTGGGGTTCTTTGTGGTTTCTTCGGCTTAGTAAAAATCTTCGGAATGATCTTCTTGTAGACAAAACAGCAAAGTAGCAGCAGCAGTACTCCATACAACAGGATTGTCCAAGAACTGGGAATGTGCGACACCTTATGTGAATGGATGTCAACACGATTTTCTATTAGATAATCTTCTTTTTACTTTGTGAACTTCATCAACTTCTATTTGGTCTAGATGAAGGCTGAAGTCATTCGGCCTGGTAGCAATTGTCGTATTGCTATCGATATTCGGAAAAATAATTGGCTGACTTCCAATCGATATAGGCTCTTGATTGGCGATCAGGTCTTGATTTAGTTCCAGTGTACAACCGACTGGAATTTCGGCTAAGTAGGATCCCAAAACTTTGACTGTTTCTTGGCCTTCTTACACAGCTTAATGTAATGGTGGTTTCATTGGGTATAAGCAAGATCCATTGTCCGAAATCATGCAGTTTCTTCATTACTGGCTCTGTGATTACGGCTTCTACTTCGCGGCAGGTAGTGGGAGTTTTTTGTACCAGGAGTTGAACTTCGCAGGGATTGGATTCTTTGATTCTTCTTAAATCTAGTTCCTTGCAAACGTACTGTTTTGCGACCGTTTCCGTGCATGCGTCTCCCGCAAAAGGTAGTACAACTCATTCTTTACAAGATATTTTCCAGAAGGGATGACTACTTTGAACAGACCCTTATGAAAGGTTGGAATTGAATATAAGTGATAATAATCAAATTGGAATGTATGAACAATTGGAATTTGAAGAATGTATGTTATTTTTCTATCAACTGTATAACAGCTGATTTTAATGAGCTTTTCAAAAATCGGGATATTATCCAAAGTAACTTCTAAAGGGAGTTGCTTTGTGGATAGTTTTAATACCACTGAATTTAGCGCTTGAAGTAAATGTTTTGGTTTGATTACACTGGGGTGCATAATTCCCAATTTTGCAAACGTAAGTGAGTTTTCTATACCCTGGTACTGAAATTATGATATGATAGATATTCATGATCTCTGAGATTGTATCCCTCAAGAAAATGCCATTTTCTATGCAGGCTTGTGTGTTAATCATAGATGTTGAAAGCTGATTTATTTTAGCTTCCAATAGCTTTTGGTTATGAGTAATCTGACTTACAGTTTTATTGGAATTATCGATAAGTTCGACAGATAAGGTACTCTGACTATTGATAGCTTCTGATAACTTGTTTTGATTATTCTGCAAATCGCTTATTAGAGACTCGAATTTTTCACCATCTGAAGCATCCAGGTTTCCTGTGATTGCTTTGAAAATTGAACCTAAGCCGTTTATTAATCCCCTTTTTATTCTAACAGAGAATGATGGAAAAGTTTCGTAAGTAGAGGGAAAAATGTCATTAAGCTTTCCGTCTACTTTTTTTCTAAGAAATACAAAACATTGAGGTAATTTGCTGAGTGTTTATAGTGCTCAATATATTTCCTGGATAATTTCGCAACATTCTTTCTTAAGGACATTAACTTCAGTGATTATTAAATTGACGTCGTAAAAATACAGTATTGAGTGACAATTTTTTGTAATTTTGGCAGTCCCTAATTTCATGGGTATCAACCCTAGGTTATTTTCTAAATTCTTCAACGTTATCGTACCATGGATTCCTATGATTCCTGGGAACCTGTAAAATAATATATTCGAAAGAAAATCTTATTTTTAGCGTGCAATTAAGAATAAACTAAACGTAGATTACATACATAGTTTCTTATCTAATTGCTCGAGGCTTAGTCAAACGAATAAAGTTTGCGTAGCGGACGTTTCAAATTACTTATATGCACTTTTCCGTGCTGGTCCTTCGTGACGGTCTTTTTCTCCGTATTAACACTTTGTAGTCTACACGGCTTTGAGAATTTGTTGGGGTGCTTTTTTCTAACATGCTTTTTAACGTATACTGTTTCTCGGTTATGAAGTATAGTCGGACTATCGCAATCTCTGTTAACGCGTTCTAGCGTTTTCTCTTTGTTTTGAATGAGATCAGAATTTATTTTTGAATACAATAGTTTTGTACGCTCTTTGTGGCTGTTGGTATAGTCATTGAGGAGTAATTGATCGATTTTGATATCGAATGGTTCATTCGACGTAATATGTCCATTGATTATATCTATAGGCTTTAATTTTGTTACAGAATGTAAGGTGTGGTTGTAGGCTAAAGCGGCATACAACATTTTCATTTTTATAGAGGTTTTCTGAAAGCCTTCTGTGTTCAACAATCTTAAAGGTTCGGTGATAGTTGAATGAAATAGTTCAAAGACTCCATTAGACTCTGATGATTTGGCGATATAAAATGAAGCTTAATTTTATGAAGTGACAAAAGTTCAGTTACAACGGTATTTTTGAATTCAGTGCCATTATCTGCGATAATTCGGGTAGGAATTCCATGATGAGAAAAGAATAATATCAGATTATCAGCAATTTCAGTTCCTGAAAGCGAAGTAATCTGATATGCTTGAGCATATTTAGAAAAACTGTCTTGTGAGAAATTGAACCTTCAAAAGTTAAAGTATCGATATGTACGATTTCAAAAGGTTTTGATGCAGTGGGGGTGAGATTCATCGCAATTTTTATCGGATGACGCTCGTATTTACATTGTTGACAAATTTCACATTCATTTATAAATGTTTGAATTGATTTTTTAAAGTTAGGCCAAAAATATTTTTCTTTTATTCTCTGATGCGTTTCCTCAATTCCACGATGATTCGACTTGCTTTCGTGGTAATTCCGGATAATGTCCTTGATATCAGTTTTATCTGTAACATCGACTAATTTGGTTCTACACATTTTGAATTTCAAAGTATCGGACTTAAACATCCTTTGTAGAACGACAGAAAATGTTTCATATATATCTGGATTTTCAAAGTATAAGTGATAAATGACGTTAATCTCGAATAAATTTAAATACATCATCGTCAAAATCATTTTCTGAAAATTGTACGTTAATTCGTTGCTTGCTTTCAAATAAGATAGAAATTTTTGGTGGTGCAGGTGAATGTTTTACTGTACTTATGATAATCTGATTATTTCCCTGATTAACTGCATAATCAACTATAGGAATTGTCTGAATGGGGTGTTGGTCCGCATTTGAATGTACAGTTTCGTCTGGATTTTCAGGACGATTATTTTGATATTCTAGATTGACTTGTTCATGTTCAATGATATCTACAATTTCGTCTGGGGGTTGAATAAAAAGACTGTCTTCGTCATTATCGACGTTTACGAACATAGATTCGGTATCAGGTTGTTTTGGGGTAGAAAAGTTAAATGTAGGTGTACTTAATTCAGATGAGCCTTTCTGAACTGGTCGGTCAAACTTAACGTTTTGGTGTTGAGTACCCGGGCATTCTTGAATCAAATCATCTAAGTCGTTCCGAAATGAACTGGTTTCTTTTGTATGGATCTCTACACGAGACAGGGCATCTACATTTGTATTCAGTTTGCCTTTCTTATAGATGATATTCATATCTTACTCGTCTAACCTGATTTTCCATCTTAGTAATTTTGAAGAAGGGGACCATAAGTATTTTAAGGGCATATGATCAGTAATTAGATTGAATTTTCTCCCGTAAAGATAAGGTCGAAAGTATTTAGTCGCCCAGACTATTGCTAGTAATTCTTTCTCAATCGTACTATAATTTCGTTCGGAATCATTAAGCGTGCGCGACACATAGGCGATAGCAAGATCCTGTCCTATAGGGCCTTGTGAAAGTACACAACCAAGGGCTACGTTGCTCGCATCCGTGGTTAAGTTAAATGGCTTAGAAAAGTCCGGATACTTGAGTATCGGATCATTCATCAGAACATTTTTACATTTTTCGAAACAGTCAATAAATTCCGCATCGTGTTCAATTTTGGCTCCCTTTTTTAGACATTTAGTTAGAGGCTTTGTGAGTTTCGCAAAATCTTTAATAAAACGTCTAGAGTAACCAATAAGTCCGAGAAAGCTTTTAACCTGCTTAGTCGTTTTTGGAATCGGAAATTTTTGGATGGCAATGATTTTATCTGGATTTGGCTTAACGCCGTCTGGTGTGACTATATGTCCGAGATAAGCTACTTCTTTACGAAGGAATTCTGATTTATCGAGCTGTATTTTAAATTTTGAAGTTCTGACCTTAAATTTTCAATATGTTCTTGAAGGGATGTAGAAAAAAATTATAATGTCGTCGAGATATACGAGACATTTCTCGTTTTGTCTCCCCCTTAAAATATTATCCATGACGCGTTGGAATGTGGCGGGCGCGTTTTTTAGGCCAAAAGGCATCCGGAGAAACTCCCAATGCCCATTTTCGGTACTAAAGGCGGTTTTTTCTATGTCTGTTTCTGTTAGTGGAGTTCCGTCCTGGTAAAAAATGTCTGAAAACTCTCTGCAAAGTTGAAGTATCTCTGATTTCTCTTCAGAATTTAGGTGATCAATCCTGATTTTCGACAAATCTAGGTCAAATTTTTGTGACGTGTCTAAATAATTGAGATCAATTTCTGGCATTTCTGATAAATTAAATGATTCTACTGAAATCGGCTGAGAAAAATTTAATGTAACAGGCTTAGTAGTGTTATTCAAAATCGTTGTCAACGCAAAATTATTTTTTGCTATCGTAAGGCATTCAGGTATCTCGCAATTATGAAATTTTTGATGAGGAATTACGATTTCACCATTGGCGATCGATGTTTTGATTTTTATTACTTGTTCGGTTCGAGGTGCGACGGTTATCAAATTTAAGTCGTTAGAAAGCTGGTGAAATTTTAGTCTAATTTTGGCGTAGGGCGTATGTAAAGTTCCTTTGCATAAATTAATATCGGCTCTCAATAATTTTAGATTATCTAATCCAATCAATCCATCGAAAATATTGTGAAATTTAAATAGGTAAAACTTCAAATCCATACGATTAGGAAGATTGAAAATTTTCGATGCCGGGATGGATGCACTATATTTGTGAGCGGATTTTTGAAAAACAGTTGATACAACAAATGGATCATCTCTGATTAAATTTGGAAAAAATTTACGAGCAATACTGGGATCAATAAATGACTTAGTTGATCCAGAATCGATCAACATTTTAATTCCATATTCGCATTGCTGGCGTTAAGTGAAATTACTTCTGGTGCTAGGTCTTGTGGTCTATGAATGAGTCCTTCTGAAAATTTTGAGGTGGTTCTACGTGATCAGTTTCAGGAATATCTTGTGTATAATACTCGCAGTATTGATCAGTGAAATATGTATCTGAATTTTGTGGTTCAGCTACAGTTTGATCGCAAACAAAAGATTCGTTACCAGGAACTTCATAGGTGTTATTACTTTCTGTCTCTGTATTGAATAGCTCTTCAGCGATCCAATTTGGTTTTGGTTGTTCCTGGGCTGTCGAATTATGTTCAGGTTTGAAAGAAATTCTAGTAGAAGTACTCATAGGAGTAGTTTGTGGTAAAGTACGGTTAGGGTTAGGTTTGAATACATTTCTGTTATTCTGTGTTTGTCTAAAAACTTGAGAATTCTTCGGAAATCTCTGAGGACGATAAACTGGTCTTGGCAAATTTACAGGTCCAGTCGGAAAAGTCGAATTGAACCTAGGTTGAAATGTTGAAGTGTTCGGCTGACTGAATGAATAATTAGTAGGCTGAAAGTATGAAGGTCTATTTTGATTTATCATTGGCCTTTGCATTGGCCTGGAAGTTTGATTCTGGGGCACATTTTGTGATTTTCCAAAATTTTTGTTATAATTTTGGAAATAGCTGACATTGTCTTCAGATATAACGAATTGCAAAGCTTGGCTGAGAGATGTGGGTTTCATACATCTAATTGTTGTACCCAAGGGCTCTCGTAGTCCGCACAAAAATGTTTTCAGAGCTAATTCTTGATATAAATTTCTTTTTAACACTTTTGCTTCTTCAGAATGTTCATGTAGGTACGTTTACATGGCTGCATAGCAGATTCAAAATCTGAAGGCACTTATCATAAAATTTTTGAGGCGTTTCATTTGGCATTTGCCTAAACATCACGATTTAGACAAGTTTCATCTCTTTGATCAGAAAAATTCCTAGTCAGAATGTCTTTTAAATCTGCCCAACTTGTGATATTTTGGATATTCACTAGCACTTTAGCATTTCCTTTTAATTTCGAGATCAGTGAATTTAGCAAATAGATATTTTGGAAATTATGTGGGTTCTGTATATCATAAAAATTTGCAATTAATGTTTCACTCACTGATAGAAACCTATTTAAGTCATTAGGATTTCCGTCAAACTCTGGGACGCAATTTAAAAATTCTGGTCTGAATTGAGACATGCTTGGAATATTTTCAATATTTAATCTAGGTGGTCTTAAAATAGGTGAGTCTGTTGAAAGTGTCAAATTATCTATGGCCTCTGCAATATCTTCCAAAGACATTTAAAATGTATAGTTGCACTTACGCTAATACGAGGATGATCAAGTGCATTACGTTTCTTTCTTTGTCTTTACTTGGTTGCTTAACTATAAGGGGAAGATCTTGGTTGGGCGATCTGGTCCTGTTCCAAAATGTTCCGCTTGCAGATTTGGGCGATGTGTGGTCCAAATCCCTGACTTCGTAGGTGGTAGCTGCACACGGTGTCTTCGATAGACCGGTTCCGCTCGAACTCCCACTCACCAAAGTCTTTAGTCCGTAGGCCGTTTTTCCGGTAAATTCGTCGATACGAAAACTGCTTTCGCAGTCTCGATTGATTCGCGAAACAGCCCGAAAATCCGATCTGGCTGCGCCAATTATGATCTAAGCTGTAAGTTTTATAGATACTATAGAGTACTATATAGACTACATTTGGAAGGAAAAGGCAGTGCATAGGTACATAGTGAAGATGTGCGTGCTAATAATATGTGTTAATGGTAATTCCATTGGTTTCTTGTCTCAAATAGACTTACTTCAGGGCCGCGGTCCGTAAGTCACTATATCCGCTCAAGGACATGAATACGTTGGCGGCTTGGTCCGATTGGTTTGCGGTGTGTTTGCCCGTGTGGACGCTACGACTTTCGGACGGCTAGATTTGCAAGCGCTTGTTTACAAACAAAAAAGCTTTAACCGTAATTGAAAAAATTTGGTTTGTTTATTGTATTTAGTGAAAATGAACGAAAATCGTGCTTTTGCCATTGTTAGTGCACTCCAGGAAGCACTAGATTCATCGTCAGATGATGAGGAACTCATCAGTTTAATTTTTTCGTCATCCTCTAGTGATGAAAGCGATGGGGTTGAAGTATATGAGGGAGAGAGAAGAGGACCGATGCAAAAGAGGCCTCGCATTGAAGAGTTTGTAGAACGCACAGTGCCGGGTTTCTCCTCAGAAGAATTTAAATCGCATTTTAGAATGTTGCCAGAAACTTTCGAATTTGTTTTGGGACATGTTGGACCATTGTTAAGCACAGCTGAACCTAGTTCTCGACCATAAACTCCTGCAAAGACTCAACTGCTACTGGTATTATGGTTAATTGCAACTCCCGATTCATATAGGTCTGCTTGCACAAAGTTTGATGTAGGGAAAGCAACCTGTGTACGTTCAATGCGAAGAGTTTGTCGAGCTCTACATACCTTAGCTCCTAGATTCATAAGGTGGCCTGAGGGACAACGAGCTCAAGAAGTGATAGGAGAATTTGAACGGGCTAGTGCTTTGCCTGGAGTTATTGGTTCAATAGATGGGACTCACATTGAAATTAATAAACCCAAAGATGATGAACATAATGCATATTGCAATAGAAAGGGATATCCATCAGTCCAAGTGCAAAACATCTGTACTTACAAGCTAGTATTCACTAGTGTATATGCTGGACATGCTAGTTCAGTTCATGATGCCCGTGTATTTAGCTTATCAAGATTACCTGATTATATGGCAGACCCAGCACGATACTTTCCAAATGATAGCCACCTTGTTGGTGACTCGGCTTATCCAATCCATCCCTGTATAATGGTGCCATATAAGGACAATGGTCACTTGACATCACGACAGAAAAACTATAATTTTTGTCATCTGCCAGAACATCGATTGAGAGAGCATTTGGTTTGTGGAAAAATCGCTGGAGGAGAATTCTTGACAGACTTCCCATGGTCACGATGGAACAAATACCTGAATACCTATTAGCAGTTGCAGTATTGCATAATATTTGCATTCAAAGAGATGACTTGTTTGTCCTCAGTGAACAACAAATTTTAAATGATACCCCCCCTTGTCCAGCAAAGAGACATGCTAATAGATGATGCCACAAGGAGAGCTGCAGGTAGTGCAAAGAGAGAGCGCATCATGAATGAACTTTCTGTTAGACACATTTAGTAAATGTGATACTATTTTTATAATACAGTCTGATTTAAAAATATTTTCACTGCATTTGTTTTAAAAGTGACATTGGTTTAAATAATTTTTTTTAGGAAATGACACATCAAAGCTCTTAAAATTATATTCATAATTCAACAGATCAGAATTCAACGAATATTATCAAAACAAACAAAAATAAAATAAAAATATGCAAAAATTGACCAAACCCGAATACACGAAGCCTAGTTTCCATCTTCAAGTAATTTACGCCCTGCCAAAGCCTCGCCTATCTTCTTTAGAGCATCCATTTTTTCTTTATGGTGCCTTTCCTTCATTTCCATCAATTCCTGCAGTGCCTGCATACGTTTTTCTTCTCTGGCTCTACTGCGATCCTCTTTCTCTTTCCGTAATTTTAATTTTTCTAGGGCAGTGACATCTGTTTTCTTAATTTTTCTGGTAATGGGTTCTGGCTGAATGGGGCCCCTTTCGTCAGCAGTGGCCTTGGGGTTGGCCCATGCGCAGCGACCAAATAATTCTTCCATCCTCTCTAGGTACGGCCATCTAATAGTGCCTCTGCCAGATCTACCCTTCCTCGCCAATATTATTTTGTAACGGTTTTTGAGGCCATTTAGCTTTGACTGAAGTTGACTATGGGAAAGGGTAGATCCAGTTAGCTTTTTAATATCTTCTACAATTTGTAACCACAATGACTGGGTTTTCTCCCCCGCATCAAATTGTGGCCTATACTCTTCGAATTTAGACAATAGCAGAAAAACCATTTGTGTAGGCCACAAAAACTTATCTTCCTCATCTGCCTTTTCTACTCCAGGTGGAGCAGGACCACTGATAGCGTCATCTCCTTTTACAAGTGGATGAAGAAATGCAGGGGGAAGAGTAGAACAAGGCATAGGCGCAGCAGTCGGCGTACAAGCTGATGCGCTCTGGTCTGGATGACTTTTGTTTTTTCCGTTATAACATCGTGGTACAGTATAGAGCCTCATCTAACATAAAGACAAAGAATAATTATTATTAATTAGCCAAGACTTGAAAATATAAATGAATGCAATTGAGTCTTTGCAAGTCTCTATACTTCGAAGTTGAGTCATTTATTTTAACAGTGAGTAGATCTGATCAAAAGAAATGTTTTTTTCCTTTACCATTTTTCTGGTAAAATTAAAGTAACAAAGTTATAGCCCTTTGGAAGTTTGAGTACCGCCCTGTCTCAATAATAATATCATGTGCTCGTGTTTGGCAACAACGGATATAATCCGCCTTATCGGTTCATCGCATCGGAAACAAAAAAGCGAAAGAATTTGGAACGATGTTTTTACAATTATTTTATTCAGTTCAGTTATACATACAGTCAGTGTCAGTCGGTAAGGCGTGTGAATAGTGTCTGTTGCGTGGCTCAAACGAAATAAGTACCGCCCTGTCTCAATAATAATATTATGTGCTCGTGTTTGGTTCATCGCATCGGAAACAAAAAAGCGAAAGAATTTGGAACGATGTTTTTACAATTATTTTAGTCAGTTGTATACAGTCAGTGTCAGTCGGTAACGCGTTTGAATATTGGTGTCTGTTGCGTGGCGCAAACTAAATAAAAAATGGCACATGTTTATGCGGATCGGTTTCCCAATCGAGTGCAACCAACCCCTCGTGCCTTTGTTAATGTAGTACAACGGGCTCGCGAATCAGGTGACTTAAAACCACACAGGGGACTGCATGCCGGTGCTCCAAGACCTCACGATCAAATACAGGTCCGCACTGAAATACTTGTCGGGAGGATACTTTATAAAACAAGGTAAAAAAAATTTTATTTTTACACACATATTTTGGTTTATCTTCCTTCTACAATCATTATCTGAAAATTAATGACTCAACTTCAAAGTCCCTGTCCCTGTATTTCATCAGCAAGCTGGTTCTATTTACCTCCGGAATAGATTTTCGCGGCATCAGCTGCACTCACTATTAATGATAGCAGCTCATGTCCTTCCGCCTGCACCGGAAGTTCAACTTCAGCCATATTATACACAAAAGGTATAAATAAATATTTTCCCAAAATTTGTTCCCGCCTAACTGCTCGGTCGTGGTAATACGCACGCATTGGGCGGTCTGATAGCCGCGAACAGCGCAAGCGCTTAAGCCGCTCATGCCTTGCAGCATGTGCATGTATAGTCAACGCCAAACAAAGTGGCGTGCACGTCATCAAGGTGGGTGTGTTGAAAAATTTACATTGTTGCCAAACTTTTTGTAAAATAATAAAATTTATTATTTACATATCTAGGTTAGTAGATGTCTTATGGGGATTCGGTCTCAAAAGTTCCAAAATCCGCCACCAGAGGCGCTGGCGTCGCGCGCCATTGACAGGTTGTTGGACGGAATCTGTAATCATGAGTTGGGGATTCCGCCGCTAGATGGCGCTGTCAAACCAAACGGAATCTGTGTGTCATTGGACACCTGTCATGCGTCATTGGGCATCTCACGCATAGATGGCGTTACACGTCATCTGTTATACGTCATTGGACACCTGTCATTGAGGGGTTGGGCATCTCGCGCATAGATGGCGCCGATTTGTTTGGCGGTGTACAAACCTAACGGAATCTATGTGTCATTGGACACCTGTCATTGATGGGTTGGGCATCTCGCGCATAGATGGCGCCGATTTGTTTGGCGCTGTACAAACCAAACGGAATCTATGTGTCATTGGACAGCTGCCATTGATGGGTTGGGCATCTCGCGCATAGATGGCGCCGATGTCGCACCTGTCTGGTGTTGGCGTGGATTACGGGGGGCATTCAGAACGTGTATACAGGGGTGCATCGAAAAATAGCGGATCGATGGACCGACGGTATATCGTTAAATCGTATATAGCAAGGCGTGACCTAAATAGCGTGGTGGGCTCCTCTGGTCGGTCGGTCGGTCAGAATGTCTCATAACCTGTATACGATGTACTGTTATTATTATACAGGATGATACCGTTCAAAATGAAAATAGTATAGACATTCTGACAATTATTTCGCAAACCAGAGGTATTTTCAATAAAACTACAATAATACGTTTAATATTTTATTGAAAATAGAAAAAAACTACATAGGTAATATGATATTTGAAAACCAGTGGCGTAGACGTTCAACATTTCTCTGGGTACAGGAAAATTGTCCGTTGGTGTGGCATGGATTGGAATCAGCAACAAAGTTTCCAGTAGCACACGGTGTACCATCATACTTGCAAACATCAATAATGTTGGGAAAAACACCAAAAATGTGACATTTCTTGAGTAAAAAGTTTGCTTTCTGTTCTCCACGAACGTAGACATAGTCAGCCGCATATATCACCTTATTTTTAATTATTTCATTTAACTTGGAATATTTAACGTCGCCGGAAGAATATTTAAGCCCATGGAAATTCTTCTCCAAGTAAGCGACAGTTTTCTTGTCTTTAGTATTTAATGTAGAAAAAGGTTGCGGAGGTGTAAAGATGTAATGACTTTTCTTGAAACCAATTTCGATACATAGTTCTTTAGGTACGAATAATCCGTCAACTGTAAAGCCTTGAATGTCAACAAACGCGATCCTCATGATGTCTGATGCGGAACTGAGAGTCCTTCGTTGCTTACGAGATGGTTTTAATAACTTCGGTGAGGGGGAAGTACTCGATTAAGCAGTCATGTATAATGATGCAGTAGGCCTTGGTATTGGTTGGAAAGCCAGTATCGGCTTCGATATCCAATCTAACATCAACAGTTGATGATTTCATGGTTTCCTCTTGTTTGGAACAGTCAATAACAAACAAAGCGCGATTTTTAAAAGCGGTATAATCTAAAAGACATCTCTTCAGAGGAGAAGAAGAAGTTGTATAGCTGGTTTGAAAGTCGCTATAGTTGAAATGAGCTTCAGTAAAGTGATTGTTTGCAAAGTCCAATTGCATACGTTCGTTGGGATAGTATTCACCATTTAAAGATACTCGAATACTAGCAGCATTCACGTGATCAAACAGGGTAGGGTCTGAGGTTGCGACGTCACGTTTACCGGTTTGGAAACATACTATAATGAAACGTGGTCTTTCGATTGCGGTGCTAGTTTTAACTGACCATATTTCTCTTCTCGCATCTGCGGTAATTGCAGGCAGTTCATTCAGATCCCATTTTCTAAACGGTATAAGTATCGGCTTATCAGTTTGAATAGCTTTCAAAAGTTGTTCTTTCACATCATCACTCGGGTAAATATGTTTGATTTTCAGTTCCATGCTTTCAATAGTTATTTTCGCTGTCGTCGTCGTTCCAGTTTTTTCCTTGATAATGATACAATCGTTATCGTTTCTAGCTCTCACAAATCTGAGAGTTTGTCTGCCACACGTAATCATAGGATAATCATTGAAAATGTTGAAAATATGTTTAAGCGGCATTAGCAAGCTAAAAGACTTGTTATGTGTTGACGCCATTATAGGTGTTGAAGGATAGTTCCATCCAGCTATAGCCATATGATTTGAGTCTTCCTCACTGTAACATACGTAAGCTCGGACAGTACTTACAATACCAGGATCACGTACTGTTTCAACTTCTCTAGCGGATTCACTGTAAGTGCAAGAGTCAAATAGGAAGGCACCAAAGTTTGGAGCTAAAGATACATCTCCTGCTCCTCCTCCAGTTATTTCAACTTTCCCTTTGATAGATAGAAGGGAAGCGTTCATTGCAAAGAACGAATCTACTTGATTGATGCTAAATTCCACAACATCATTACAATTAAATGACTTGATGAACGGCGTATAAGATCTATACTCAGCCTTGCGAATAGATTCATCGAATGCTGGAGATCGATATAGATCAAACATCGGAGAAGTATGTGATGCTGCTGCTGCTGCCTCCTCAGTTTTTCTCTTTTTGTACATGATTCTTGTTGTTGTTGACATGATATCCAAGTGAGCGTAGAAACAGGATATTTGATGTAGTTAGTAGTAGATGTCGTCGCTTAGGTGCTTGGGGTAATACTGAAGTTGCCTTGGAAGCACCACTATGTCTTATAATCACTAATCCCATCTGCGCTTCGCTCTCAACTCCAACACAAGAGTACTAGTTTCACCTTGAAAGTTTACAGGACGACCGTCTTGATCTAAAGCCAACACTGTGATGTTGGTTATTTCTTGTTTCGGTATAACAGGTAGATATAGTAAATTTACAGGTGTTTCGACTATAGCGTATCCAGGATCGGCTGTCACAGCAAATTCGTAGATCGTGTGTGCAGGCGTGTCTCCGTCAAAGGCTCCCGACGTAATGTTAGCATCAAAGTGTATGGTTGATACTTTTATTATGTTTACAGGTAAATCAGAAGAATGCTTTTGACCAGGATTAAGAACTTTTTTCGAGAATCCCAATAGATGTCCAAGATTATTCGGTTCTGTAAAAACTATTTTATAATACTTGCTAAAGATTTCACATTGCAGTGTATTATTGTTAGGTTTTAGAGAAAAATAATCATCCGGAGGAGCAACTTCATTTTCAAGATTCATTTGCGTTCGTATAAATGTTTCTATGTCGGTAATTTCATAACAACCTGTCGGAAACTCGATGACTTTTAATTGACCACCACCACCTATCCGGTCGATATAATAAAATTTATCTCCTTTTTCAATATTCGGTATGGAATTGTATGAAGTAAAAGACCTAAGCGCCAATTCATAATCTTTTTTCGGATCCAACACTATCGGTGTTGAAGGACGAAATGAAAATATATGAGTAGTGCTATTGACTCTCAACAACTGCGACATGATGAATGAAAAAATTTAGCTGTGTACTAAGCATTTATTCAAGTTTTTTTTTTGTTTATTTTCGAATGGATAATTTACAGAAATAACAATTTGCTTGAGCAGTAGCCGGTCCATCCCAATGTGTTGTCCAATCAGGTCTGTTGTAGTGAACATAGCATGGAAGTCGTATTTGAAGATCAAAATTGGATGTGTATTCTGCAGGCAGTTTGTGCCATATACTCAATAATTCTGCAGGTCT